ACCCACTGGCTGGTTGTCCTGGGGGGCCGCGGTGCACGCCTCGTCGGCTCACTAATCAGAATGGTAAACTCCCGAGATTGGAACATAAGAGGGAACCCGCACCTGTCATCAGGGGACAGGTGTTCTCTCCACACACAGCACACGTGCACACACACGAGGCCCCGGGCCAGAGAGAGCAGCCTGTCAGCGAGGGCCCGAGATGCAGGATCATCTGGGAACACGCATGGGCTCCTCAGCTGGGGTCCTGACCAGCCTGCAGGAAGGGGAGGGGAGGGGAGCCCATACCAATGCCCCCAGCTACCCGCTGACTGATGGGGACCAGGACGAAGCATCTCCTCAGTGGGTGACCTCGACACCTAAAACCCCGATGACGTTCCATGGGGACAGCGGCCAAAATGTGCCACCGAACCCCAACCTGTCCATACTTAGCCAAGAGCAAAGGATCCCAAATGTGAAATTTCCACCCGGGCCTCAAGGCAGGGAGCAGATGCAAGAGGCTCAGAAGGGGCCGGAAGACCTTGCCGCTCTCAGCAGGTCACCGTGTGGGACAAGCCCAGGGCGGGCGTCCCCCTGGCGGCATCATCTGCCCCTGGTACGTCGGCACCTCGGATGCCCCAAGTTATAACAAATGAAAATAACTACCTCTTGGGGTCTGAGAAGCATGACTTGTGCCTCCCCAAGCCCAGGGCCAGGCTGGCCAAGCGGGCCGGTAGCTGCGGTGTCTGCCCAGGGGTCAGGGTGGCCTGGGGGGGGGGGTCCTGCCCATGCAGATGTGGCATGAGAGCGTGAAGAGAGAACGTGGCGGTGCTGAGCGTCACAGAGCGGAGCCAAGACTCACAGAAACCGCACAAGCTGGGCGCAAGCCCACGCACTCACTCCCGTCCCAGAGGACGACAGGACGACAGCGGGGAGCGCCCGGGGCCGCCTGCCCAGCAGCCCTGGTGCCACGTCTGAGGTGGCCTAGCAGGGCAGCCATGGAAGTCACCGTGGGGAAGGGCTCGGCATCACGGTCCTGTGGACGTATTCGTTCAGAGCGGCAAAACCCACTCAGAATAACCCAACTGCCGAAGAGAGAATAGAGAAACACGGTGTTCACGGTGTGTTTGTGGAATGTTCTACAGCAGCCAACACATACACTCGCTGCTGGGGACCGTACGGGGGCATCCTCCTAAAAGGTATAAATCCATCCTCCCAGAGCCCCGCCTCTTCTAAGCCCCCAGCAGCCTCATCTGTGCCCCTTTGCACTTGTGCGTGCGTCCCCTGCTCCTGCCCTCTGCTGCCGGGCTGCAGCTCAACGCCAGCCCCTGGTCACCCCACCCATGGCCCCGGAGGCCGCACACCTTGTCCACCCCTCGGGGATGCTGTGGTCTCCAGCCCCGCCTGCACCCTCCCCACAACACACACAGACACAGGGTCAGAAGGTCTGCAGCACCCCAAGAACGAAGACCGCAAACGCTTCCAGGAGGAGAAACACAAAACACTCCCCCTAAAGTAATACCCTGCATCGAAGAAAGCAACAGAGCAACGCTGGCAGTCAGGGGACCCAGAAGCAAGACGGCCCCCCACCTGCAGTTCCAAGTCAGCCGAGCCTTTCGCCAAGGAGAGACACAGGTGCAGACGGACAAGGGGTCGGGTACTTTCCCACGTACGCGCCGAGCATCCCCCAACTGACGGAGAAACAGGAGCCAGAGCACACAGGCCCGAGACCGGGAAAGGGACGCCTGGTGCCCAGGGGGGTGCGGGCGGGAGGGGTTCGAGCAAGTGGGAAGACGGGGCCGGGGGGCGCGCTTCCAAGGGGAAGAAACAGCCGGACTAACCAGGACCGTGTCCAAGGTCTGCGGATGAATCGGCAGGAGCACACCAAGAACGAAGCAAATGAAGACAAAAAGCAAAGATGAAAATCAGCCAGAATCACAATAGTGATAAAAACCCGCAAAGAAAAAAATCAATCGACTGGACTTCACTGAAATCAAACGCGTTTGTTCTTCTAGAAACACCGGTCCGGAAATGAAAGGCCAACGAGACTGGGAGAAACCGTCTGGGAGATGCACACCTGACGGAGCACTCCTATCTGGAACATGGAGAATTTCTACAACTCCATCACAGGACAGAAACCCCACCGAGAGGAGAGAAGGATGTGAACACACACCCAGCCAAGGAAGGGAAACAAGCACACAAAAAGATGCTCAGCGTGCCACTGGTTCATGAGCAAGATGCAAATCTGGAAATGCCCAAACTGGAAACAGCCCAGACGTCGCTCAGCAGAAGGCAGAACAAGCCGGCGCCCCCACCTAGCGGGAAGCCCTTGGCGCCAAGGCGTGAGGGACCACTGGCACGCACAGAGACGTGGCTAACTTTCACAATAATTTTGCAGATAAAAGCAGCCAGGCCAAAATCACAGCACAGTACACGCACACGATCCCACCGACACCCAAGGCCGGCAGACACATGCTAGCTTCCTCTGCAGAAAGAAGTCAGACTCCAAGGTCACGACAGGTCACTGCCCGATGCCCGGAGCCACTAAATGCACAGAGGGGGACAACGCATGAGTGGCTGATGGGGGCTGGAGGAAGGGCCACTGGGGTCCAGGTCCTCCAGCTGCAGTGGGTGACGGTCGAGCTTCGGAACCAGACGCTGGTGCAGCCCTGTGAATATGCTAGAAACCACTGGACTGTCCACTTTCAACGGGCAAGTTTCCGGCATGTGGATTACGTCTCACTAAAACTATTACCAGAAGAAGAGATCTGCCTGCAGGAGCAGGGCTCACACCAGAAGAAATCCCCACGGGTTGTGCTCCTGGCTCCTGACACAGCCCCGAAATCCCTCAGGAGCCCCTGAGTGATAGCAGCGCCTTTCGTCCTAATGTGGCAACTCTGGGTGGGCTCCCAGATGGGGCTGGTCACCGGGAAGACCCCCGACGACCAGAAGCTGGGCTTTAAGCCACACCCCATCCTCCAGGGACAAGAGGGGCTGGAGACTGAGGCACTGACTGTGCCCACGGGATGAAGCCGCCACAAAAATGCCTAAACCACAGGGTTCAGAGAGCTTCCAGGTGGCGAACACACCCACCTGCTGGGGGGGAGCCCCAACTCTGCAGGGACAGAGGTACCTGAGCTCGGGACCCTCCCAGATCCCACCCTATGTTTCTCTCTGTCTGGCTATTCAACCGTATCCCTCGTTGTACCCTTCCGAATAAACCGGTCAACGTAAGTAAGCATTCCCCTGAGAGCTATGAGCTGTTCTAGCAAATTATCCAACCTGAGAAGGGCTCATGGGAACCCCTAACTTGTAGCCAAGTCCCACAGAAGTGTGGCTCACTAGGGACACGCTGTTCCAGGTAGATGGTGTCAGAGCAAGCCCGAACTGTGGGTGCTCAGAGAACGGGAGACCTGGCTGACCAAGGGAGCCCCACGTTTGTGGCCAGAGCACGTGGTGAGAGGACATAGGTCTCAGTTTGCCTGGCACCTCGCTGCCACCTCTGTGGACACACACAAGAAATTTCTACCAGGTGCCAGACCCCATGCTCCATGTAACCTCAGGACAGAGTCCAAAATCCCACAGAAGCAAACTGGAAGCTCCCTGATTCCAGCTGGAGCTGGGACGAGCCCCCAGAGCAGTGAAAGGCCGTTCCTCCCCCGGCGTGCTCCCTGCCTCACTGCCCAGCTCCGCGACACAAGGCCGTCCAGCCGTTCGCTGGGCCTGCAGTAGGGCAGCACCCTGGACTCTGCCACCAGGAAGCTCTGGGACCTCACCGCAGTTTTGCACACGCCCACCTTCATCCTGGGGCCACACAGACGCGCATTTGCCCATGGGCAGACCCTTACCTTTCTGTGAGCGTGACCACCGGGCCTGGGCCCTACGGCAGCCACGTGACTGACCACCACAGTAAAATGCCCCCTTCGCAGATAGGAGCCTGTGTGCAAACTCACGTGGGTCATGCACAACACTGAGTCCCCTCCGAGGGGGTTGGGGACCCAGACCGTGCCCTCAAGAGCTGTAGCCAAGGGGGCCCAGGAGTAGCAGGCAGGCCCACATGTGGCCTCTGATCCCCAGGCCGGCTGGACCATGGGCACCCCTTGTCACAGAGGAGTGCAGGCCTCCGAAGCCTGAGTGTCTCGCACGTCACCAGCGAGGCCGCGCTGGCACCCCTCACCCCCTCAGCACCCCTCAGTCCCTCCGCGTCCTCCTGCCTCTGCCAGGGGGAGGTCGGCTCGGTGTCCATGGAGGCCAGACGGCTGCCCTCCAGAGCTAGGGAGCAGCATAGCCTTTCGGACGCTGCACGAAAGCCTGCCCATCACCCATGCAAGCAGAGCCCAGCCTGTGTGCAGGGTCTGGCCCCGGTCACGCATTCCACCCAGCCTGTTGCCCCCAGCCCCAGAAGTCTCCATAGCTGCATCTGTCACCTGGGCCCCACAGCTGCCAGCACGCCCAGGGCCTCTGGGCACGCAAGGGAGACTTTCCCCGCTTCTGTGCGCCTGGGTTAGGAGCGACATGAACTCACGGTACAAAATTTGCAAAACAGCGAAAGCATAGACAGAATGACCCATCCCAGGAGCTCCACCTGCTACGCTTCTGGGCCTTTCCCTCAGTTTATCGTGTGATACGCACGCCGGTGCGTCCTTTCACAAAACCAGGTCACCCTGCGCAATGGGTCGGCGTCCCGTCTCCCTATAATACCAGGAATGCTCCTCATCACCTCAGCTCTGCTTCCACACGGCGCCCCACACCAGCCAGCGGATCCACCCGTGTCCTCACCCCACGCTGCGCTTCTCGGGGGGCTGACCCAACAGTGTGCGCTCTGAGCAGCACTCACATGCAGCCGTATCTCACAGCCCTCGCCAGCTCTGAGGGTCACAGTCCTCTCAGAAAAGCTTCTTGTTTGATAAGAACCTGATCCCCAGCGGAAGCAGGACCAGACAGAGGCTGGGACCCCAGCCCCACCCAGGCACATGTGAGGACCTAGCGGCCATCTGGGGGTCTCTGCTGTGTTGGGATCTTACCGAGTTCTTTAGAGCCCTGGCTCTCGCTGGCTAGCTCACCCATCTTCACGAGGGCGTCAAAATAGCCTTTGGCAGCGTAGGTCACACCTGGGAGAGAAGAGAGGAGCGGTTACTGCACGTCCTATGGACAGACGAGACCCTCAGCACCCACACAATGGTCGCGGTGCACACCAGCCCCCCACGGTGCTCCGCGGCCCTTCTGCCTGGGCTGAGTGCTCCCCGTTTCTGGCTGACATCCTTCTCTTGCTGCAATTGTGAGAGCTGCTTTTCTTTTCAAGAACGTGGTGCCGGGTTAGGCCCAGGGCTACTCGAGTCAAACTGCTGGGTGCTATCACCAGTGCCTGGATCTGGCAAGGGGTGGCAGGGCCCACCAAGTACATGAGACAAGACCCCGCCAGGCAGGAGCTGGCACAAAGCCATGCGCACAGAGACTCCCAGCCAGTCGTGGACAGACAGTGCCCCTCACCTCTCCAAGCTGAGCCCACATCAAGGGCCTGCCCCACAGCAACTGCGGCCGCACTCGATGTGCACCTGGCACCCCAGGGAAGAGCCCTGTGCCTGCTGGCCCTGCGCGAACCCGCAAACACCTCGTCTGCGCGGGGGCCCACCCGCCCTGCAGACTTGGGGGAGGACAGGGCCAGCCACGGGACAGCAACATCTGATCCGCTCCCTCCAAAACCCAGGCCGGGGTGCCTAACCAGGCACATCGTCACATTTTATTTAGGTGGCTTCCAACGAAGTGCGTGCCCAGGAGCGTGCCCTCGGCGCCCCCACCGGCTGGACGGTGTTGGCTGCCAGGAGGGGTGGGCTGCTTAAAGCTGATCAAAGCCAAGCCTGGCACAAGGGTGGCATGGGGGAGGCCGAGTGCAGCGGAGGGGACGGTGCTGATGTGGCCGGCTGGGCTCGGTGCCACGGGCCAGTCTGGGAAAACGGGCAGCGGAAGAGCCCGGATTCTCCACACACAGCCCCCCCGAGCGCCTCACGGGGATCCGCAGTGGGCGCAGAAAGGCCCGGAAGGAAACCTGGCCTCACATCAAAGGGGAGACCAGGACTGCCTGGGAGTGAGGTGACGTCTCCCCATGAGGAGGCCAGGTGAGAAGAGTCCTACGGACGGTGGCTCCAGAGAGGGACCCCCGTCAGCCACGTGCAAAACCCCGCGTGCGTGGTGCACAGAAGTCAGCCCCAGCCAGGGAGAGACGAGAGCCCGGTCCTGCTCCATGGGCACCATGAGGGGCTTTGCTCGGAGGACCTGAGACCTGGGCCGCCTCCTCTCGCCTCTTCCCTCCACCAGCCTGCAGACCGCGTGCCTGTCCTGCTCGCGGAGTGTTTCGGGGCAGCAGACCTGACCGGGGATGTTCGCCCGGAGGCCAAGCCGGCTCTCAGCTCCTGGCAGGCACAGAGGTCATCACCATGGCCTGGGACCTGCCGTTCTCTTTAAGACCCTACAGGCAGGGTTTCAGCTCGAGGAAGGAACAGAACCTTCCGAGGAGCAGCTGTGCCTCCTCTCTTGCGGGGGACCGGTGGGCTCCCGGGGCAGTGTCCCCGTGTGCAGGGCTACGGGGCAGGGGCAGGGTGAAGGGAGGGCAGCTCGGGAGAGCCTGCGGGGTGCAGAACACGGTGTGTGCCCCCAAACCAGAAGGCAGCGCAAGGCCCCTCCCCTCCATACCCACGTGGAAACAGGGAGATGGCCAGGGGCTGCTGGTCAGTGCCATCGACCCCAACACAGAGGAACAGAGGAGCCCTGCCCACACTCTTGGCTGGATCTGTGTGTGACAACAAGACCACTCTCCTTCAAAAGGATCAGTGTACAGCCGCACCCCCGGGAGAAGGGCCACGGCCGCGGTGCAGAGCCACGTGGTAGACTGGCGTATGACCGGTGTCCTCCCTGCCCCCGAGACACGGCAGGTGGCGGACTATGGCCAGACTCCTCCAGCGGCAGACCAGCAAGGCCGCTGTCCAGGAAGAGACCCGTTCCACCGGGTGCTCTGTCCCCAGGGACCACGGAGACTGCCCAGCGCCGCACTCTCCTTGCTGCCCCCAACCTGAAGCCCACCCAGCGGAGTCCCCATGGGGCCATGGACACACCAGGGCAGCTGCCAGAGGCGGGGGTACACTCTACAGACACAGCCTCCCTGCTCAGGATACGGGCTCTGCTCACAAGGGAGCCACAGTTCGAGCGACAGCCTGACACCTACGCTGGGGGGACACAGGCAAGGGTGGGGGGGACCTGCATGGGTCGCTGAGAACCGGGCGTCCCTGACCACAGCGTGACTCAGCGCCTCTGCTGGGAGGGAAGGGCCCAGACATAGCCACAGCCTGTGCTGGTACCAACGTCCCCTCCCTGAACGAGCCCACGCCCCCAGCGCCCTGAGCCCCGGCTCTCCGTGAGGTGCAGGCGCTCACCTGCCAGGGAGCCGTGCAGGCCCCAGCCCCAAGCCCCATCCTGCAGCTTCAAGACGAAAGTTCTTTTTTATTTTTTTTTTTTAAATTTTTTTAAAGATTTTATTTATTTATTTATTTGAGAGAGTGAGAAAGAGAGACAGAGAGAGCACATGCGAGAGAAGAGGGTCAGAGGGAGAAGCAGACTCCCCGCCGAGCAGGGAGCCCGAAGCGGGACTCGATCCCAGGACTCCAGGATCATGGCCTGAGCCGCAGGCAGTCGCTCAACCAGCTGAGCCGCCCAGGCGCCCCCAAGACGAAGGTTCTGAGGACAGACATCCACGCCCACCGTCTTTAGGTGCTGTGGGCGGACACAGCCCAGACCGACCCCAGGACAAGGCCGCGGACAACAGTGGGTGCAGATTCCAGGGCTCACCGGCCTCCGAGGTGTGACCTCACACCCTCCCGCCTTCCACTCTAATCTGGCTCCGGGAGCTGGCCACCTGCCGCGAGGGCGTTGCTCCCACCCCACAGCCTTACCTGCCAGAGCTTTCTCATAGTTCTTCCCCATGGCAATGAAGTTCCGGAGGCTGGGGTTGAACTGCTCCATGATGGTCTGAGAAAAGCAAGAAGAGAAAGGGCATGAGTGACCCAGGTGACCTAGGGACCCTGCGAGTGTTCCAGTAGGAGGAGAAAATCCACAGGTGGAGACCACGAAGCCGCGGTCAGGCTTCTGAGTCCAGACCCGAGCCCCACCCTCGAGCAGACCCCCCCAAGCCTCGGTTTTCACCTCCGTGCAATGGCGACAAGGATGGAGCAGTGCGTTGGGGCTTTGCGGCTCCAACAAGAGGATACCGACGGTGCCGCAGTGCTTGCCGCACAAGTGGCGCTCAGAAGTGCTGCTGAGGTGCCATTACCCTGTCTGGGGGGCTGAGTCAGCTGAGGAAAACCCTCCTGCCAGCCACACACAGCCGCACGGCGCTGCCTGGGGCCCCCTCCCACGGAAGTCTTCCCTCAGCACATCAATTACCAAACATCAGCTCTGATTAGCGGGACCCACAGCCTGATCTGCAAACACCACACTGTGAATAATCCAGCAGGCCGGGTCTGTTTGCCCAATGGACTGCCATTGTGCGTCGGAAGAAATTAGATTTTCACTGCCAAAGCCAAATAAAGGTTTTAATTATAAAGCGTAAAAACAGGCGCACGGAACACCAGCAGAATGCGAGTTCCATCAGGCAGCAAGCGCGGCCGGCCAAGAGCCAGCCCGGCCAGCAAGGACACTGCGGGAACTTTCAAAGAAAACCTGTCTCGGCCACATCCTATGTGTGCAGGTCCACGATTACAACGGGCGTCTGTCTGATCTTTCCTGAGGATAAGAGAGAACAGGCAGCCAGAGAGGAAACCGCCTGCCCCTGCCCCAGACCACGGAGCCCCAGACGCTGCTCTGTGAACCGAGGCTGGGCACCCTCACCCCCGAGCCCCAAAGTGTGCCCAGCTCTAGCCCCAATAACACCCTTCCTGTGTCCCCTGTCCTTGCCCTCGGCCAGTGGGGAGGGCTCTGCGTGCTGCCATCCGCCCACCCTGGGGTGTCAACACAAGGGACAGAGACCTGCACTTCCAAGGGATGAGGCCCTGCATCGGAGCTCCCAGCCACTGACATACAGGGCTGGGCCTCAGGCTCGTCGAAGGGGTGCCCACCAGGCTCCACACCACATGGGGAACAAGGAAAGGAAACAGGGCAGGTGTGCCTTCCTGTCTGGATGCAGCAAAGGTAGCTCTGCTCCGTGCGGGGCCGGCACTGACGGACGCAGGGGACACAGCAGTGACCCTGCCACAGTCCCACCCCTGTGGGGCTGACAGCCTGAGAGCGAAAGCACGCCCACACCACACAGCGGGCAGTAAGCACTCTGTGCGGGCAGAGAGCACAACAGTGGGATTCGGGCTCACGCAGACGGGAAAGCATGGGAGTGGGGCCACGGGCAGGCCACAGCAGGGCAGAGGCCTCGGGCCCAGCCCCTGGGTGTACCAGGGACAGCCAGCAGCATGCAGGCTGAAAGGTCGGTGAGGAGGAGGGAACAGGCCAGCCCACGGCCCCACAGCCTCACCACCTCACAGACTGGGTGGGGAAGGCCCTGCTTTCCGAGGCCAGATGGGAAGCCGAGGGAGGGTCTGAGCAGAGCAGAGCCATGTGGTCCAACGACATTCCAAAGGGACCCCTCAGGCTGCTCGGTTAGACTCTCAACAAGGGCGCCAACAGATGAGGGGACTCCTGTTGGAGCTGCTTGGGATCTAAGAAGTGGGGCCCTTGGGAGAAGGGGCTGGGCCTGCGTGCCCCGTACACATGGCGCTGTCATGTGGGGACAGATGGAGCATGCGGGGCCGAGGGGGAGGCAGGCGGCTGGTCTGGGGACCCAGGAATCTGGACACACCAAAGCCGGGGAGGGCCTGGAAACTGGAATCGGGATGCCCCAACAGGCAGCAGGGTCAGGCAGACGGAGGATTCTGGGTAGGAAGCCAGGTTTGGGGGGTCACCAGCCAGGGGTGAACACAGGGCCTGTGGGGGCTCAAGCTGCCTGCAGACCTCGGGACAGGGGGGTACTCAGGGTTCACGTGTTCTTTCTCTTCTTCTTTTTAAAAGATTTTTATTTATTCATGAGAGAGAAAGAGACAGAAACAGAGAGCATGAGCGGGGGTGGGGGTGGGGGGGTGCAGAGGCAGAGGGAGAAGCAGGCGACGTGGGGCTCGATCCCAGGACCCCGAGATCATGACCTGAGCAGAAGGCAGTCGCTTCACCGACGGAGCCCCCCAGGCGCCCCATGTGTGTCTGTTCTGTGAAGGAGTCAGGGTGGGATGGGGCCTGAGCCCCCTGTCCCAGGTGCCTGCAGGAGACCGTGTGCTCACGTGGGTGTGCACGCAAGTCCACATGTGCAGAGTTTCAGCATAAAGACCTTTTCTCGCTGTGGGGCTGGGCCCAGGTGTGACACTGCCCTAGCAGGTGCTCAAAACACACCCACCTTCCCAGGCCCGCGGCACCCCCAGCCTCCTGGCCAGAAGAGCACACTCTGCCCAAGCTCATCCTTCGAGCCCCATTAACATCCTGAGTGACAGCAGGAAACAGGCCAGGGGCCGCCCAGGCCAAGCGAGGGGACCACCGGGGCAGCCTGCCCACACCCTCCCAACGACCCGCGGGGACAGCCGCCGGGTTTCGCTCCCTCAGCGCGAGGAATGCGGGAGTGAGTGGGCGGGGCGGGATGGGTGCCGGGCTGCCAGTCAGGCACCTGGGCAGGGCAGGGGGCCGGGACCCCAGGCCTGGCCACGCAGCAGCTGCCGTCCCACCTGGATGCGGGGGTAGAGGCAGAACTGCCCTCTTCCCTGCGGCTCTGTGCAGAGGCCCGCTCCCCAGCCTGAAAAGCAGGCCTCCTACGGAAGCCTGAGGCAGACAGTCACCCACTGGCCTCCTAGTCACTGGACGTCCTAGAACCCCGGCTGTCCGAGGCCCGGCACGGGGCTCGTCTGCCCTCCCCACACAGCCCGCGCTGGGGAGCCCCGTCTACACCCACCCCACCACCAGCTCCGCTAATCAGGCCCTAGGAGGGGCCCCGGAGCCCAGGAAGGCAGGAGCACCACACGGAGGAGGGCTCCTCCCTGAACCGGGTCCCGGAAGTATGGGGATTTTGCTATCTTTTCAGGGCCCTGCATGGAGGGAGCTGAGAGCCCAACACCCGAACACTCCAGCAGGGGTCTATTTACTTGGGGAGGGGAAGGGAGTTGCTTTTCCTTGTGGTTACCCCACCCCGGGAAGGAAACCAGGAGCAAGGCCAGGGGCAGCCTGCCTCCTATCCTCCGGCTCACGCCAGTCCCGAGACGCGGGGGCCCTGGAGAGCCTCAGGGTGCACAGAGGAGCCCCACCCCCCCACGCTCCAGGGCCACGTTCCCGAGCCAGGACACGGTCCCACAATGTGAGCGATGACCAGCTCTGACCCCTGTGCATGCAAATGAGATCCCCAGATCGGCTCCAGCTCTGCGGCTCCACGCGGAGCCTGTGTCTTTTATTCCTTTGGCAGCTTTTGTGGGCTCAGAACCTTCCTGCGGACCCTTGAACAGCACAGAGCTGCACGCGTCCGCTTACACGGGGGGTTCACTGGACACAGGACAGCACTGTGAATGTGATCTCTTTCTAATGATTTCCTTTCTTCTTCTCAAGATTTTATTTACTTATTTTAGAGAGAGAATGCGTGTGCATGTGCGTGTGTGTGAGCAGGGGGAGGGGCAGAAGGACAGACCTGACACGGAGCTTGACCCCATGACCCTGAGATCGTGACCCAAGCCGAAACCGGGAATCAGATGCTTACCGACTGAGCCAACCAGGTGCCCCTCCAATGATTTTCTACAGCTAACTCCATTGTAAGAACGTAGCATGTAACACACCCGACTGGTCACGTGATCGGTAAGGCTTCTGGTCAACAGCAGCCTATCAGTTAAATTTTGGGTGGAGAAAGGTCAGCGCCCTTAACCTCCACACAGTTCAAGGCGCGAGTGTATTTGGCCCCAATCACTTCACTCACTCACTGGTTCATTCAGCATCTGTTACGGAATGCCCCTGGGTGCCAGGTGGGCTGCTAGGGGATCTGAGAAGGGCTCCTGGATGCCCCCCCAAAATACACACTGAGAAAGGGTTGGAGTGACGAGGGGTCCCTGCCAGACACACTCACAAGCTCAGGCATGCTGTGCAGTCACCTTCCTGCCAGGATAGCCCAACACTGGATGCTCTGGCCGCGCCTGGAGTCTAAATGAACCTCCACAGCAGAGGTGTCCCCAGGGACCCCAGCCGTACATTTCTATAAGAGTAACAGGTAAAAGGATGAAGGCCCCTGTGCAGGTGGCTGTCGGCAGGACCCACCACGCTGGGAGCCCTGGGAGCCTTCCTGCCTGGGTGGCTCCAGGACACTCCCAGCCTGCCTGGACACTAGCAGGCATTTTGAGTTACTTTGTGGTCACAGATCTGCCTGGCCAGTGAGGAGAAAGGGCAGTGAGACACCCTTGTCTCCACCTTGGGGGAATGAGGAGAGTGGCCAACCCATTTCTAGAAAGGCGCTCTGCCAAGGGACTTTGCTCCAGCCTGCTCGTGGGCCCGTGTCCAGGTCTGCCGCTTGCTAGCTCAGGAATCCTGTTCATGCCTCAGCTCTGGTTCCTGGTGATGGCCCCCCTCCAGCACCTTCCTGGCAGGGCGGTCACAAACAGCAAAGTTACTCTGCTGACAGAGGGGAAGTGACATGCCTTGTGCTCCCCCCCCAGCCCCGCCCACGCAGCGAAGGCCGGACGGGGTGGGCGCGTCTGCCTGTGTCCTGTGCACACACACGAATGCGCTGTGTGGCCAAGTCAGGCTTCACATCTCTCTGTGCACTCAACACCTGGAAGAACTCTAGACAACATGACGGCGCTGGGACGCCACCCGGCCTTTAACCCCCATCACCCTGCACCCTCACCCGACGGATCCGGGAGCGCCGCTGCCCCACTGTATAGACGGACGGAGAGAGGCCTGGGGAGGTTAAGAGCCTGCCCTCTAGTTCCTGGAGGAGCCAGTTCCGGCTTCAAGCGCAGGCTGGCCGCACA